CTAAAAATAGAATGCAAATTATTGAAACCCCGCGAGAGTCAGACAACATAAGCGTGTTCTGAGAGAAATAGGAGGAAAATGAACGCCAAATTTTCGTTTCAAAAATTGTTTCAGGAGCACTTGCGTATGCGCTTGAAGAAGCGTCAAATCTTCCACCATTCCGTTTTGTTTGTCTGGGTTTGTCTGAGTTATGACGTCACTCGCGCGCTTCGCTATTAGATCACGACAGGAGACAGTCATTTAAAACATGTCAGTGACGTCTCCTTAGTTATTTATCGGTTATTTGTATATTTTGTGAAAGCCAAAGTTACAGAAGTTAATTAAAAAGCCATAGTTTTTCTGCATGTCGCCTTATTTTGCTCTTGAATTTAACAAGTAATATTTGAGTCTTTGAAAACATGTTTATTTGATTAGGGAATTCGCTAAAAAGAATATTTGTAGAAACGTCTCAGCTTGGACAGCAATCAAGTGGAAAACATGACAGATTAAAAACTTCTACTATAACGTTCACAATTCACTCTGAGTGTCATCAAAAACAAAAACGGAATCACTGAGCGTGCGAAACATTCTCAAGACCACACAAGCTTTTGTTTTGCTTTGCTGTTCTTTTGTCTTTATTTTACAATTTGCAGCTGTATACTGTATCCGGTCATACAAGTTGCGTGTTACATTTCGTTTTAACGATTTTTATTGTGCATTAACACCTGCATAATGAGGTGTTTAACAGCACGTACGTACACTTAACGAAAATGTGTAAACAAGCCCCAACGTTTTGCCAAAAGCTACTTCTTTTGCCATGCCCGCCCACATGCGTTTTGACGCCAGTGAACGAAAATAAATAGTCAACATCTTCAGAAATTTAATTTGCAATAGATGTGCGTACACGCACTTTTGAGGTTTAATGAGCTCAAATTCTCAGTGACTTTTTCTGGTACTTGTCTGAAGAGTTCATGTAGTTAATAACATTGATTGTGAAGAAGCTTGCATCGATTCACATGTTTATCACTATGTATTCCTTAATACAGTCGACCCTCTATTACACGTAAGCGGCCAGTTATCGAAGTCCCGAAATCATTGTCAGTATGATGAAATACTGCAAACAAAACCCCTATTGTCTTTTCCCCTGTTAAACGGCCTCATAATTTAAAAAGAAAATAAAAAATAACAACTAGTTTGGCTTCGTTTTGGAAAAATGATGTTAGATAAGAGTCCTAATTATCAAGGGATCATTCAAACACACTTTCATTACCTTGATGCGATTCCATATTTACTAAGCAGTTAACCCGATGGTAAAAAAAATATTCACAGTACATCAACCCCTATTAAGTGGCCACCACCCATTTTCCCGGGGCTGGCCACTTAATTGGGGGTCCTTTATAAATGCCTGCCGCTTTGTAAACGTCCGAAGCATGGCGCCCTCCCTGATTTTTGTCATTATCCTCCTGACTTGAGCATGTTGCTTGAAACATTTTACAGATGAAAAGGACGGAGGTGCTTGTAGAAGATTTTGAAAAGAATCCCTAGGAGGTATCAAGATCCTGTTTTGTGGACGTGGCTTCAAATGTTTTTCACCCCTAAGAGGTACCAATCTCCTGTCATACAACAAAAGCTCCCGCTGTGGACCTTTTGAGGCTGAACACCTGAAGAGTACCAAAACTACGTTTTTAACACATAAAGGATGCGACGAGCACCCTCGTCCTTTTTATCAAGTGAGAATCCCTCCGCCCCGGGGTCTGAAGTTGTTTGTTGCAACTGTCCCGAGATTCAAACTGAACGACATGTCAGTGTGCGAGGAAAAATAAATCAGAACCTAGAGATAAACAGACACCTCCAGTTACCATGTGTACAATGTAATAAGCTAACTAACCCAATACGCTACGCTAACTAAACCAATATGTCACAAAGTCACATCTGTTTATGTGAAGTTCTCACTTCCGAGTTTCAATTTCTTTTATACAGCCCCAGGTAAAGAACTGCCTTTTCTAGATATAATTATTTGTACATTGGCCACATTCCTGCTAGACCAAAACTGCCTGATTTCTATACCTTATCCCAGACTCAACGAAAACCATACCCTTCACAGCGGCACATACGCATATAGCTTATATTTGGGAGTACGTATCTCCCCGGGGACATGAAACAACTAAGTAGCTCGATGTTTTCTAGTCTGAGGACCCAGATAGATTTCCGGCTTTGTCAGATCACGCCGCCAGCGTGAAAAAAAAAATCAGAAAATCCGTCTGTGTTCGCACGTACGTTCGCAGGCTAGATGTATTCGGGCATGATGGCTGACCTCACATCTATGTTATGGCGTTAATTAACATTCCTAGCTAACCTTTATCCGACTATACTGAAGCCTTCGTTAGGTCTATGATGACTGTGTATCGGAAGAAGAAACTCTTGTATTATTTTGTAAATCTTGTAAATGTGGCAGTAAAACTGTTTACTTTGGTCTTAAAATTTGACACCTCAATAAAAAGCTAATCATGATCCCCAATATAATGGCCTTCACCATTAGCTTGCAAATTGCTGACTATAAATCTCAACTCTAACTGTTAATGATCATCATGGTCATATTTTTCTTTATCAGTATTGCTACGAATCTAATCTGTAGCCCACTTTAACGATCAAGTATATTTTATTATATCAAGGATCATCAAGATGTCCAGGCCTTTTTTGTACTTCTCTCTTTTGACTCGTACACACGTCCGATGTCTCGCTTCACTTTCTTACAGAACACTGGCACGGGTCCATATCAGTTTGAATCGTTTTACGGACATCGTTCAAGCTTTTCAGAATGACTCAGAAACTCAGGAAAGGGGTCTTTAGGGAGTTAAACTCCAAAACATTTCCTGGGTAGCATCCCCCTGGACACCTCTAGAGAGTCTGAGAAGCTTGCGCCTTCGGCATTTGATCCAACAGGGTGAGTCATCTAATCTGCCGGGTCCATGTTATTTTCAGTTAAAAGCCATGTAGCCAACCACAGATACTCGATGAGGTACTGTGTTATAAAAACCTATCGCTAAAATCTGTCTCATTTGTAAACGTGATACATACCTCTTTCATGACTGTTCGTTGGAAGCAGAGATGTTCGATTGCCTCTAAAAGTAATTGCCTGCTGTTTTCGCTATCAAACGATAATTCGCTGTTTTCCGGCTCGGTAATTTGATGTGTTCTTTTCAATTTCGGTCTTTATAATTATAATCAATAAGTCTCAAAGGCAACCTTGAGTTCTCATGTGCACAAAATAATGTGAAAACGCCGTCACCCATCCACTAGGCAAACAGTGGGAAGGTAATAATAATTATCTCAGCTGTCATAACAGAATTTTCGGTAGATCTCTTAGATCAGAGCGTTGAAAGACGGCCCGGGAGAACAAAGCATATGAATTGTAAAAGATAACAAACGCAGCAATCATTTCGAAATAATCATTATTGGTCATTTTTGCCCTAATACCGCACTAACTACGTATAAACAGCACCGGTATGTGGCGCCCTCAGGTTTTTTGATTTTACTGATTTGTACACAGCCCCTTTTTATCTGGTTGGGTAAATGAAGACGATCCAGCCTAGGGAATATAGTTTTGCAGCGTAATAAATAGCAACTTTGAACTTACCGAGTTTCAACTCAGTTGGTTACACTGCATGAATGGCAGTTCCTCGTCAGCACTACTCGACAGGATGGAATGCACCGATCATTCCCTTACGAACGCAGAAATGCTAAAAAGTTACAAAATTACAGCGGTAAGCCAAACTTCACTGTGACAAAGGTGGAAACGACAAACGATAATCGACATGTATCTTCAGCGAAAAAGACATGTCCATGGAAACGGAATTTTGGCGGGAGCGCGCCCTGCTCTTCCTTCCCATCATCCCCCACGGTGCAACTTGTCCTTCGTCAAGCCAAGTCACGTTGTGGTGTTTGCGGGAGAGAGAAGCTTTTTTTCTGTTGCGTACAGAGGTGAAACGTTTGAGCAGCTTGCAGCCTACGGGAAAGAAAATTGCATTTTACTTTGTACCAGAAATGCAGTTAAGAAGAGGCACAACTCGAGGTAAGCAAAAGTTGCATACGATATTACAGTGGTTTTTGACCGCGCCGTGCCAAACACTTTAGACCGTTGTAACATCTGTTGAGCATGCATTTAACTTATTTAGCCTTTTAACGTATAGTTGGGTTCCTTTTCGGTAGGGTAACGAACTTAAACTGTACTATCGTATTGTGGTATCGTTGCGCACGAACTTAAGCTCTTAAGCTGTAATCTCTGCTGGTCTGTCAAGAAGAGGTAACAAGAACGGACGAATCAATGCTTACATGTGCAAATTAAGCTACATGTATTAGTAATTTGTGTGCACATTGGGAATTCCAAGCAGCATAGTTAGTGGAGGGTCCCCTCCACTAACTATGCAAGCAGTCAAGTTATAATTTGGTATCCTTTAGACAATCCGGTACATGCTGGTTGGTATTCCGAGGGACTTTTTTGTATACATCATTGTATTTCAGGTGGAATCTTACCCTCCGTTTNCCCCCCCCACTCCCACACGCTGAAAATAACCACTCCTCTCCCCAACAATCAAACCCTCAACAGTTAGCCTCTTTGCAGCCATAATTTGAGTCACCATGTAGCACCTTGTAGCATGGAACAAGCAAATTAATCGTTTGAATAGCAGTACACCAACAAGCCTTAAAAAATATGTGGGGTTACACATAAGAAGCAAAGCGCATAAAATTAAAAACAGCTGGAATTAGAAACAATTCAGCTTCTCCAAATCAGTTTTGTAAAGCCAGCAAGTGTATATTTTTTCATTTGCGTTAATGAAGAATAGTACATGTACCAGTTGAGTTTGAATGAAAAACTATTGTCCATCAACATCCAGAAACACTGAAAGTATTTTTTATCTATGTTTTGTGGAAGAGATTTGCTACAAAGATTGAGCTGGAATTGTCCATTAGAATACTGGAGAGAGCTTTGTTTATACTGTAGAAAGACACAAATACTTTTCACATACAGTTTCTACAATTTTGATACCTTGATGTCGAGTTTGGTTTTATACAGGGAAACTGGAAAATTCTTGCAAATGTTGAATTTTTGAGAAATAAACATGGCGTTTTCCAGCCAAGCAGGGCTATTTTTAGTCATTGAAAGAAATTTGACAGGGGCAGATTTGATCACGCGCTAGGTAACCGCTTCTGAACTGTGAACATGCGTCATGCAATCAATAAAACAAGTTGAACGCTATGGTTTGTAATTTTCATCAAGCTTCATCTTAACATGTGATCACCCATGTGCCTAAAACTTACTCTTTGTTTCGAAATCTTTATGAAAAATTTCATTGGTGGATGGCATACCTGGGCTCTTGCCCGGGCAAGTGAGCAGAGAAAGTTGCTTGCCTGAGAGGAAAATGTACTTTTCCCTGACGAGCAGACAGGTTTTTTTTCGAGCTCTGGACCAGGTTGTGCTGCTAATGAAACCCTCTGTAAACAATTAGCCTGTGAGCTGATGTGTTGTACAGTTCTAGAGCTGTTCAAATATAGTACCTCTATGCCCATTACAGTGTCAGGGATCAAGCTGCAGTTTTGTTATAGTAAGGACATGAAAAACGCTGTTGGGAGGCTTACATGCATTTCACTGGGAGGTCTACAACAAAATTTCATGGTAGCAGGATAAATCGGTTTAAGACATTTTTCCCAAAACACTTAACTAGCCCGACAGGCAGACAAAGGATAGAATCCACCAGCCCAACAGTAAAACCTATGAGCCCTTGGCTATCAGACTCAAGTTTCTTTGCACTCCAAATATTGAAACATTTTTTCTTTTTATCATGCCACAGATTTAGAGGACAGTACAAGCTATCAATCTCTATCAGTGTATCAGTTAGTCAGTGAATTACCCAAAAGTGTTGTAAGTATTGTTTTTTCATATTTATACAATATTAGAAAATATCCAAAGAAAATAATTTTTTGTGCATGCTGATTGGTGTAAAGATGATTTCCAGTCTGTACTGCACACTCTTGAGAGTTTGTTTATGTTTTTTGTTTTGTTTCATGTAAGACATCACAAAATGTGAACATTTTGCAACTACTTTCATGAAGTAAAGTCAAAGTTTCATGTCAACTGCCGTTATGGATGTGGAGCTTTATGTTTTGTTCTCTCTCATATCACTTGATGGAACAACTTCGCAGCTGTGAAAATCAATGAAGCTGTTGGAAAAAGAATTTGAAAGGCCCCAAAGATAAGGTATGTGGTTTGTTACGAATAACATCGATTCGCATTCTATTGAGGGAAACTTTTTATGTTTATAAACATTAGGGTGCTGAGACTATGTAGTACCGACCGGAAATCATCTGTAATTTCGTGTTTCTATTAAACAGTTACATGTAGATTATGAGCTCAAGATTTCTATCACGCATAGAAATCGAGAGCGAATAATCTTATTGTTTTAGTATAAATCTACTAGTCGTTCAAAACTCTATCTAAATCCCCTTCAAAGACACTTCAAAAACGCTAAGAAGTGGCCGTCATTTTGTCAACAAGGGCACACCGCTACGCTTCTCACTATCTATCACAGAATAGATTGTGAGTAGCGTGGCCAATCAGAGAATGGCATTCGTGATATAAAACTAGTAGATTTGTACTAAAACTCGATAGAAACACAGATCTAGCACAAGCTGTCAACATACGTGTAATCATTGCATAGGCAAAGAGAATTTACAATGTACATTTTGGTGATCAAAGTAAACAAGTTACACTGTAGTTAAGATAAGATAAGATACTTTATTTAATGTGGAGTTACGCTTAGCTAATTAGCTAGTTTACAGGTAATGCACGGCCTTACAGCTGTAGTATATTCTAAAAATTAAAACTAAAAATGTGCAATAATTGATCGTATAAAACTATAAAGACCTATAAATGCAGAGAACTGAAAATCTAAAGAATCAAATTACAATAAATTCCAACTTCAGTCAAACTTAAGCGATCAAGTTTTGTTGTTCACTTCATTAGTGCCTACTTTAAATTTAGTTCTCATATCATAATTTGTTAGGTCATTCCATTTCTTTGTGGCAAAATATCTCCATGATTTGAGACCATATTTAGTTGTGTTACATGTAATTTTTGGCAAAGAAAGGATATAGTCATGTCAAAGGTTATACTTGGATGATGGTAAGGTGATAAGATCTCTAATTGCGGATGGAGCTTTGTCCGATATACAATTGTTTATTGTCGACAGCATGTCCTGAATTCTTTGAGTTTCCATGGATGGCAGTCTGATTCTTTGTAAGAGATCTTGATAAGGTACACTTTTATTATTTTTTAAAGACGTACCTTAAAGCCCTTTCGTTGACTTTTTCGATTTTAGCAGTATTTCTTTTTCTGCAGTGGTGCCAGACTTGGTTACCATAGTTAAAATATGGTAGTATAAATGCAAAGTAGTATAAATGTTTTCTTTTTTGTTGCAAAATTTCCTCGGACCGCTCCCCATCTGGCAGTAGTTCTTTGGAAGAAGATAGTTTGTATGGCATCAATTAGGATGTTTCTTCTCATTAATAATAATACCAGTTTGGCTAAAGAAATCTTCTTTTATCTTCAAACATGATGCACAATCCAAGGCCCACCCACCCATGACTCACTCACCGTGATTTATTCACCCCTTGCATAAACTCATTGTTCATGTTCCAGCAAGATGCTTTTTTAAAGAGCACTAGTTTCCCATCCAAATTAGAAGGAAGCAATCTCAGAAAAGTCAGCCAGACTTTTTTCTCCAGTGAGGTACATAATTTATACAGCTTGAGCGCATCTTTATTTTTTTGTAGCATTTTCAAAGAAATATCCTGTTTCATTTGACAGCGTTTTCAAGGAAATGGCATGGTTGAGGTAGTAAATGTATTCATGGCACATTGTTTTTTGTGTAGAGTAATTAAAATACTAGTAATCATCAATTTCTTGTAGTTTCCACTTGGTGACAGTCCATCTCCATTGCCAAACAAGTCCATGAATATGAACTATAATCAGGTAAACCTGTAAAATTTTCTTATTATTAATACATCAGTTTTATGTCACTATTACCTGCTGGCACAAGATTTTAAAAAATATTAACTGAGAAGAATTCTTGCAGCCTATACTTGAGGCTGAGGGCAAAGTCCCTGAACAAAGTGTTCAGGTTTTATGATAAAGAAAAAAACATACAAACAAACAAACAATATACAGTACCGCCTGAAACTGTGGACCCATCAGGTTGGGGCAAAACTTCGTCTTTGCCGCATGCTCACACCTTGCGTCCCCTGCGGGTGAAAATATGTAGCACCGCGGTAAAGACGAGTGCGACCGCAATTGAAAAAATACCACGGCAAAACAGACAAGGTAATACCTCAAGGAAGTAATGTATGTGTATCGAGTAGAGTGGCATTTCTTCATCAACGTTGCTTGTAAACTCCATCATAATCCGGAATCAAGAAACATGCTTGATGGAAAGTCGAACAGTTAACATGTAAATGCCTATCCTCTAGTTTGTTTCACTCTTTTGGAAATGACTATCAGTAAGCCCTTTTATGAACTCTGATGACACTATTCGTAGGTGTTTTAATAGGGTTCACAGGGTTTTGAAGGTCACTTGATTAGAACAGCAACTGGATGGAGCGGTCAGTAGTACTAACACAATCAACAACGCGTTGATCCGTAATTGCAGCTACATGTGCTAAATGTTAACAGTTTCAGGTACTAAAGATGTAACTGTTCGTCGTCTAGTTCGTTTTTTTTTTTAATTTTAAAAGCGATGCATTGAAAGTAGTAACGCAACTTCGTGTAGTATTGGAAACAACAGAGGTCAGGAATCAGTGGAAATCAAACATAGAGCATCTTTTGATTTCTGTGAAAGGTCACATGAAATGTTAAAAAAAAATCCACTAGCCTAAACTGGTGAAAGGTTTTGATTCTCCTTTGATCTAGTGTGTAAAGGCAAATAATATATTTCCCTGTAGTAATCTTTGCTTAAAGGAAGGTTACATGTGTTGAATGCCGTCAGGAATAAAGAGCAGTCACCGCTCAAAAAAACGCTAATTAATTCTGTGTGGGAATCAGTGGAAATCAAACGGGTATGATTCTAACATCTGGAGATACAGATAAACGAAGCGGGAGAAACTACATACACACTGAAACTCTTTGAAAGGTAAAAGATAAAAACGCAAACAGTTGATACCAAAAAATGCGTAGATTACTATACCATAACCCTTACTGCCAAAAACCGTGGAATTCAATACGAAAATACATGTAGTGGCATGTCTTTTGTCGGCAAGCAACCTTTGAGCTTTTTCCAATATTTTGATCAGAATTATAACAAGCCAAATAACAAGCCTTATCACGACCACTTATATATGAAGGTTGTTGCTTTCGCACTGAGCTCTCAATGAAGACAGTGGCCGAGATACATCTTATAAGATATTGCATTTCCTTTAAAGCCAAAAGCTATTTTGACCATTGTTTATCCAGTGTCTTGTTCGCAATTCGGCCCATTACCCATCCCCCAAATTTAGTGGTAAGTATGCTGTGGGACCAGGCGAATTTCATTGGTTGCCACAAAGTAAACTTCCTGACAGTTTTCCACATGATTTTAATCCCTTCGTGACTCAGTTCACGCACAACCTGGCACACTTTGAAATTTAGTCTAAAAAGAGTTAAGATTCTTAATTTTACATACTCTGAAGTGCAGACCATGTTCAAAGCAGGAGACTTTGTTTGACGATGTAGTTTCACGTATGTTTTGATCGCATGTCACTGACATGTCACCGACGCACTCAAGCAAAACAAGCTGAGCGATGAATGGCGGTTTGGTTTTGTCATCTGTTCTTGCTTTCATTTTGTGATGTGTTACGTTATGTTTGGAGTGCTGTTATTAAACAGGTAGATGTATAAAAGCCGATGAAGGTTTATCTT